GATTTTTCTGCCATGGTTGTTGAATATTCAGGTGGTGCATGTACCAAAATACAGCCTGACAGTCATCTGGAACCACAAGGACATCGTCGACGTGAGACTACCTAGGAACAGCGGCGGAGACGTGTGCGGACTGTGCGGAAACACCCGCGTGTTTCAGCCCATGGGTAGCTACCAGATGAAGTCAGGAACGGTAGGGGTTGTTCTTGTTGTTCGTTTTCTTTTTCCAGTGGGTACTAAGTTGACCAAAAACCGTGGGCTGTGCGTGCTATTTGGCACCTGGCCAATTTCGTGTGATGTGCTCTGTCTGGACCACAGCTGTTCATAGAGAGATTTACGTCAGGAGTGTCTGAAGTGTCAAAACTAAAAGGATGGTTTATTCGTCAGTGCACGTAGATGATAGCTGTAGGCTGTGCTGCACACATAATGAACAGCCAGTTTGGTTGCCAAGGCTGAAGTTGGCGCTAGTTTCTCTGTGTGCTATGACTAAGCTAACTCCACACAAGGGTCATTCTTGGAAACAGCATTATTGAGAGGCAGTTTAGAGGTTACTTAGGAAATTTATCTGTTGCAGAAGAAAGAGAAACTGGTCAGGAAGCCATCGACATATTGCAATTAAAGCAGCGTTCCCAGTTTTTAGAAAAATCGGTATTTGCTTTGAGTTTTCAAAGTCAGGTGAAACCAAGGAAAAATCACAGAATGTCGTCACTGCAGGCACGTGACGCGAACGCGGGTCGCTTACGCAGTGCACCGTGTTCAGAGGTGCCCGCAAGTTGGCCACAAGCCGCAGTCCCACTGCCTGTCCCTGTCACATTTTGCACAGGTTGTCCAGGACCCGGTCGTTTTCGGCAACAGCTGGCAAGTGGACGTGGGCACGTGCGAGGCCAACACGCACCCCAACAACTGGGCCCAGCTCGGCCACTCCCTCAGCAGCAGCCAGCTGATAATCGCCCAACGATTCTGCAAGTTCATCTCGCAAGCTTTGGGTGGGCCCTGCCTCTTTTGTTGATTTCTTTTGCTGTGTGAATGAATTTTGTTTTGCCGTCGACCGACAGAAGCTTCAAAGTGAAATGCGCCTTTCTCTTGGCACACTTGACATTTTTACCTACCAGTAATTGACCAGCTATGGTAGGCCTTTGGTACAAAATTGAAAGAATAATTCAGTTTTTAAAAAATCGCACTAGCATCAAGACATCAAAGAACGAATGCGGAGAAATTCCTGATGAAAATTCATCCCTCTGTAAAACTCTTGAGACGTGAGTGTCTTTTAAGGCGAGTTAGAACTAAGGTTAAACTTCCTACCCATGTTGGCCACCAATACAAATAAAAGTCCATATGAGAATGGTTTTAGGCAATGCACAATTATGCGTACGACAATCTTAATACCAGTCGGAAATGTTCAGAGTTAGAGGCTTGATACCTGGTAGACCTACAGAAATCCTGCAAAATTGCCACGAAAAGTGATCACACTGTTCAGCAAATAATGGTTCCATCACTGACTTAAATGATTTTTTTTTTTTAAAGTGAATTATTATAGGTGTGGCCTGTTACCACATCACTCGAATTTTGGACCATTTTCGCTTAGCTTTAAACTTAACCATTTTTTTCATTTCATTAGTACCTATGACATTGGCCATTCACAATCACCCCTGGCGACGCGAATCCAGGTTATTCAAATTCTGATGCGAAGACAGACACCATCTGGAACTCCTGCTCAGCTTGCCCTAGTTCCATTTGGACTTCTCTAAATGACATTTCTCGCAGCTTCCTTGGCAAGCGTCTCATCCTTTGGCTGGTCCCCAGCTCGGTAAAGGTAGCTCGAAATCTTTTTTTTTTTTTCTCTTCCTCGCTTAGTTTCTGGGTGCCCAATCACGGCAGCCACTGCCGACTTCAGGAGGCAGTCCTGTGAGCTTGACCACGGCAGCGGTCTGCGGGACAAGGCCTGCAGCATCATCAACGACTTCCGAGACGAGTGCACAGGAGAAGGCGGAACGGTTTCCGAGAGTACTAACACTCAGTGTAGCAGTGAGTCCTGTGTTGTGTTCTGCCATGGATATTAACCGAGCCGTGCTCAAAATGTTTCACCCATTTTATCCACGTGTCGAATTCCGCAGACACACAAGTAATCCTGAAATCGCCTGATGTCTTGTATTTATTCTCTTATTTTCCATCAATAATTCTAAAGTGCTGGACAAAGTCCAATACAGATTTGAATTTCCTGTTGGCTGACCTCCAAGTTGCATGCCCGGTGACAGGGTTTCCCCTGGGGTGCTGATATGTGTCAGGTGGTCATAGTTTGCCAAAATTCTAGTGCCTAAAACAACAGCGAGTGTTTTCAAAATGGACGAAAAGTTCTGTATAGTTGAATAGTACATTTACCCTCAATTTCCTCTCTAAAAGAAATTGATCTTGCATCCTGTGTCCCTCTTTACCATTCTGAACGATTTGAAACTGATCTTATTCAAAGGATTAAAGTTATTTTGCTTTGGTTTTTCCATTCCTGCCTATTTTAAGCGTCAGGTGGTAAAATTTATCAGAAAAACTTGAGGTGGTCACTAAATCATTGAAGTGGGCTGCCTCACAGTTGACAGAGTTTTTTTAGTGTTTTGAAAAAAAAAAGGGATTAACGTCCGTTTTCTTCCTCACCTTTGACCCTTAGATAAGCTAATTGGAAGAGAAGAAATGGACCGATAGAGTTAGATTCTTTGCAATTTTCGTCCCTCCTCTGACCCTGCAAAATTTCCTGCTATGTTCGTAATCCAATAAATAAAAAAAAAAAAAAAATTGCGGGCCCAACATGAGAGAAACAGAAAGCAAACATTTTACATAAGTGGATTGGAGGCAGACGTTCGATCATCAAGTTTTCAGTAAACCTAGAATGCTGACTTTGATATGTTTCCCCCCCCCTCCCAGCTGAGTGCGCAAGCCACCTGAATCACACGCAGTGCGTCATGCCATGCAGCACGTGCTCCTCGCTGCGCCTCTCGCCGGGGAGCTGCCAGGGAGCCTGTGCGGCCGGCTGCACCTGCCCGGACGGGAAGTTGGACGACGGCGACTCGTGCGTGGATGAGGACAACTGCGGCTGTGAGCACGAAGGGAGGTACTACAAGGTGAGAGCATTTCAGGTTCAACTCCGGCAGACGTCCGACTTTGGACGTCCAGTGGAAAGGAAGACCATAGAAACGTTTGTCTCAGATGCCTGACAAGTTCAAAGAGGAATTTCTGTTTCTCGGTCTGCCTGCATCTATGCCAGCGTTGTGATCAAGACCCCAAAACCCCTTAACGCCGGGATTCTTTTGACCGTGACTTCTGGGCTGCGGTACATGTATGCCCAGTATGCAAAGCTTTGTCCAGCAGCAGGCCCACATTGAACCAGCAGCTGCATGGTGAATAGACTGTATGTGTGGCATGCACTAATCCTCGCACAAAGCCGCAGCTGTCGACGTCTACCGGCGTTTAAGGGGTTATAAAACCACCACAAGACCCCACAAGACTAACACATGACCCCCCCCGTCTAACTTCAAGTCACAAGCTATTCCAATGAGCTGCACACTCCTTTGTCTTTTTGCGCCCTTTTACTGGCATGATCTTTTTCTTATATTAATAGGATTCTGATTTTTTTTCTCACTTTTCATGACTTTTTTATTTCTTCCATTTTCAACATTCTGCACTGCATAGTTTTGGGGGTCTGCAGGGAACTTTTGCCTATTTTTCCCTCCGGGTCAGGTACGATGCCTGCTTTTACTCGTGATTGGTCTTGTGACTGGTCTTGTTGTGACTTGCCTTATGGCTTGTCTTGTGTCTGGTCTTGTGTCTGGCCCTGGGACTGGTCTTGTGCCAGAATTTCCTTTGAAATTTGTTTTTGACGAGACGGAAAACGGTTACATGAGTTCAGTGCTAGCATTGAGTGAACTATTGTACTCGACAAGTGGTTGTTGAAATCTGTAAGTTTCTCTCCCAAACTTTTCAGCTGGGGTCAACTTTCATGGACATTACCTGCACCGAAGAGTGTACCTGCCAGGGAGGGAACGTGGTCCAGTGCGGCCCACCGTCCAACAGACTCTGTCCCGTGTACCAGACGGAGTTTCTCACCACCTGCACGCTCCACGACGGCGTCTACGAATGCACGTGCATCTCAGGCTATGCGCCAAATGCAGATGGAACGGCGTGTCAAGGTAACGTTAGACGGCCCCGCCCGGACTTTGGCAGTGGAAACAGTGGCCCCCTGTCGTCTGTGGTCTTTGCCATGACGTCCCTTGAATTGTGCACATAGATTTATCTCACCGATGATTTGCCCTATGGTGTGCCCGTGTACTTCACGCGTACCGATGTGCACAACCGGCCTCTACTTGTCGTTTTCATCCATGGGGTCACTCATTTTATAGCATGGAATTGACACTTCCAGTAACAAATGTACACTCGGTTTGCTTTTGTACACGGACAGTCTTGACACATCACCAACACACACGATTTTGTAAATACTATAATCTACAGAGGACCCTGTGACACCTTTTTCCGAAGCAGCAGAACCTCGCTTCATTTCACTGATGAAACAAATCAATATTTACTCCTTTCTGTTTCACGCAGCGATGCCCATGGACGTTATAGTTCGCCCCCCAGGTAAATAAAGCCCCTCTCTTTCTGTGTTAACTTTAATACACTCCCCTCAGTTTACTCTCTTGATAATTTGTGGGATTTCAGAGCCAAGGCTCTCAGCAGCAAGTAAATGACATTGTGTCCACTGCTGCTTGTACAGTCACCAAGATATTTGGGTCATTCCATGAGGTTGGGGCACAATTTGTGACAGTGTCCTTGTTACATGGGTAACTTTTACCCCCTGTCACGACCTGTAGAGTGGGTCATTTACTCTATAAACATAACACATCCCTCTGTATTCAGCCTTGCAAGATGTATAACAATGTCGATTTGGAATCCACAGGCAGGGAAATAGCTGTTCATTTTTCGTAACCCATGTAACAATTGACACTGTCCCAAATTGTGCCCCAACCTCATGGAATGACCCTTTTGCCAAGTAAATAATGTACATTGGCTCTTTGCACGCTGCCGCCATAAGCATGCAGAGCCTCGATCTGGCAGCTCTGCACAATGAAACATAGCCGGTTCAGTGATTCCCATGTATCTGTGGCGTAGTAATTTTGCGCATGCTGCGTTACTTCTTATACCACGCGATTGGACAATATTTCAAAGAGCTGCGTTGACGCGATTCTGACGCGACTGTACAAGCTGTCAGTCCGAGGCTCGGCATGCCTATGGCAGCAGCGTGCAAAGAGCAAAGGTACACTCATTTGTCCATCCTTGTGGGCTGTGTGCTTTAACAGTTTAGTGAGGATGCCTGACAATGGGGGCGAAGGCCTCACCCAACACACGCGGGCACTTTCTCAGTCCTTACAATCCCTCTCCTGAAGACAGAACCTGTTTAAAGGCTAGCTGCAATCAATGGTTTTGATTTCAAACCTGTAAAATGCCCCTTTGGGCCTCAGCAAACCTTATTTTCAACTTTGGTTTCACTATTTCAAAGGGTATTTTAATGCCTGGTTGGTGTTTATGCTAATGAGTATTTCCATAGTCATGAGCAAAACTGTGATGTCATCTCAGGAAGAAGCCTCAATGTTGCTTTAGTTTGCACACAGAAAGTTCTGTGTTTTTTAGACTTTTCTGGACTAAGTTTTTCTCTTCTTTGCTGATCCATCGTTGTTTATGTGCATAGCAATAAGAAACCGTCAATCCCTCTCTCAGAAACGTTATCAGTTAATAAATCTGGGCTCACAAATTGAACAGAAATAGCTATGCGCTGTCTTCCTTAGATGATTTCATAGCAACAGCGCCCTCAGTTGTCCAGGAAAGCATGGATAATTTTGGTTGTTTAAAAGTGTACACTTTTCAATGCATTTAACCAAATAGGAGTGTGGCAGAGTTTTCATACATTGAAGAAAAGTATAAAGAAGCAGAAAAATTGTGTCGAAGAGAAATTCATTGCAGCTACACTTCCGTTTAACAAAATCCTGCAGTTTGGTTGAATGGGGGGGTTTCCAGCTGGCGATAAAAGCCTTTCAACCCTTTTTGTATTGCAGGCCGTCGTCGCCGAAGGGACGTCAGTTGTAAGTAGAATCGTGGCATTCTTGCATAACAATTCTCGCTAAGATGGCTGACTTTCACATTTAAAGGGCTTTAAGTCATGGTCTGTCTCATCAATGATCCACAGATTTGGTAGAGCCAGAATCAAGCCTTCCCTTTTGGTTCATGAGCCAGACTCAGCTAGTGGTATACATGCTTGTCATCCTGATAAGCGTGATGTTTATGAAGAGAAACCGCTCATGTTATTGTTGGCCAACTTCAGTGCAGTGGGGTTGTGAAGTTGCTCGAGGCAGGCATTACCTGCTCTGTTAGACGAATTTACGCACTGTTTAAAAAATTTGAGAGCAATATCAAGCTAGTTGTAGAAAAACATGAGAAACTGCCTTTACTGTATGATTGTATAATGCCGTTAGACAGTAATATGTCGATGATCAGCTGGGGCCAAATGTCAGAAAGCTGCTGAGTGAACAAATATGCTAAGCTGAGCCGAAACAGGTTACCAGCCAAAAGGTCATAATATGTATATTGTTGGTGACTAGCAACTTGCTATTTTTGCTCAGCTTGTAGCTTTGCTAAGCAAGATTTTGCACTCAGCGGCTCTGTGAGATTGTACCCTGCTTACTGTTCTTTGTTTCGATCTGTCGCTAATCTCTTGTGCTCTGACTCTCTCACAGTGGATGAATGCAACGTGGATCTGGGCATGGCCTCCGGACGCATCGCCGACAACCAGATCTCCTCCTCCTCCAGCAAGGACGCGTCCAGTCTGGCCAAGCACGCCAGACCCACGCTGGGCGGCTGGACGGCACAGCGCAGCGACACTGACCAGTGGCTGATGGTGGACGTTGCGGTACCCACCGAGGTGAGCTCGGTCTATCTTTTACCCTTCTCGGATCCTTCAAAATCAACCAGGAATTCTTTTAGGATTTTGTAGGGTTGAGGAAGGTAAAGCCAAGCCTCTGTGTCATTAGTTAGGGCTTAGTGATCCTTGATGGTTAACCTTGACAGACCTGAAGATTCCCAAATTTGGTATGATTGTTACACACCGTAGCGGGTTGGGGCTCAGTGACAAAATGTGCCCCTGGATTGAAACTTAATGACGATTGGTTACGACAAAATCACTTGCATAATTTTGATGTACAAAGTACAACAAAAGTGCTTTCATTGCTTGATTTGGTCCAGTGGTCTAGCCGATCTGTTATACCCTGATTTTGGCAAGTGTCTCAAAACTTGGAACATTCCTGGCCCCACTGGAATGCTTCTTGTTTGGAACGCTGCAAGTTTCCGATGAAAATTTGTGATTTTCCCACTCGGAACTTGTCATTCCTGAGTTAAACATGCACATACCTAGACCACTGTTCCCGTTTGGGTACACTCTTCCAACTGCGAGAGTTCTCAATTAGGACAAGCTCTATTCTCATTGGTACACTCTCTAGCATTCTGACTTCTTAGATGCTCCTTTAAGAGTCTCAGTTTCAACAGCACGCATGACAACCTCGCTCTGTGTTTACCGTTGGAATGAAGTCTTCATCCACGGGAAACATTGTTTTTTTAATTTTACCTTTTCCAAGATAACTGGCGTGACGACGCTGGGCAGTCGTCAGAAGGTCCACGGCAGGTACAAGCAAGCATGGGTGAGCGCTTACGGAGTGGACGTCAGACTGGACAGCATGGATCCCTGGACGGCAATGCGTGATACAAAAGGCAGTGAGCAGGTAGGCAGCCAAACTCTATTTTAAGGGCGTCCAAGTCGTCGGTTGCAAGACGTGCACAAAGAAGACAGACTAGCGAAGTGAGTTCGTGCTAGTGGGTGGGCCTTCTCCCCACTCTGGAGACTTTCGTCTGGAAAGTCAAGACAGCTTTGCTGGGATAAAAAGTTGCCCCCATCGTGAGTTTGATCCCCAAAACATCTAACGTTTGTCAGTCTATAGTCACCAGGTCCATAATTTCATCTTCTGTTGCAAAGTCTTGTTTGTTGACACAATAAACGGCGAGAAGGACGGACCTAACGACTAAATGGTCACGGACGCTTTACTTCAACACGTATGTGTGACGTTGCGTTAGTGCTTGACTTAGATTACTTGTTTTGATCTTGAAGTAAAATCTAAACAGTTGGAAGTAATTTTGACCAGCGTAATTTGTGTTTCAACACCACTCTGTAATGGAGCATTTCATTGGGCTGTCAAAAGTTTTTCCGTTGAGACCAAACAGTTCCACCAATGGGAATAGAAATCATTTGATGTGAAATAAGTGGCTTTTAAACACAAATACTCAGTATGGTACACTTAGGTTTTATCTTTGTGTAAATTCGGCCGCTTGAGTTCAGATAAAGAATACAAGCAAACCGTTTTCAATGTTATGCTTAATGGCACATCTATTTGACGCTTACGGGGAAGCAGTCAACCGAATCTGCGATCCTTTGTGTTGCAGTTTTACGGAAATAGGGACACGAACACCCCGGTGACAAACATGTTTGCCGAGCCCATGCGGGCGCGTTACGTACGCATCAAGCCCATCTCGTTTTACGGCGAAATCACCATGCGCCTGGAGGTGAAAGGCTGCAAACGTAAGTGCAATATTGGTAGTAGGGTAGTGAAAATATGTGGAACTTCTGTTGACGAGTGTTATCAGAAATTAAACTATGTTACTATGCTTGAGTACCAATGTAGGATGACTTGAGTCCAGACTCGGTCCCATTTCTTTGAGTCATGACTCGGCATGGCCTCCAGGCTTTTTCAACTTGGCCCGGCTCTGGCTTGGATCGAGTAGATTCAGCCATGTCATTGTTAAATACTGCTTTACCATATCTTAACCACTCCTACTCGTCCTAGTTAAACAGAAAAATGGGATTTTTTTGTCAAAATTGCCCGTTTGTTCTGTGATGTGAGCATGTTCGTTTGATTTTCAGTGGTTTGATTTTGTTTCGTCTGCTCAGAGCTATGTGATGCAGAGATCGGTTCTTTCCCGGTCAAGCGCCACGTTACATCGGACAACTGGTTTGTCGTCAACGCTGGCGACCCCATCAACTGCATGGGCCACGTCGTGGCCTGGAAAGTCATCCACGCCCGCGAGGAACCACTGGAGGCATGGGTCCTGCGACCCCTGAAGTCGGAGCCGAATGGTTTCACGCTCATAGGGAGCACCCACATCCCGGCCGGCCCCGTCGACAAAGAGATGGAGTACGAGCTGAACGACCAGCAGCAGATACCCGTGCACACCGGCGACGTGATCGGTTTCCTGTACGAGCGCAACCCGCTCTACTCCAGCGAGGACGGGGAAGAGACGACGGACTACGAGTGGCTGCACATCCGCGACATCTCCAACTATGAGACCATGAAGCCGGGGTTGTCGCTGCGCTTCAACGGCGGGCAGGGCAAACGGGCCTTCTCCGCTGTCGCAGTTCTGCAGTGTAAGTGATCACTCTTGGGGTCATCCAAAGTCTTGTCTATCTCTCCTGTATATGACTTCCGTGTCACGAAGTGAGTCCTTCAAGTTCACGGCCACAAGCTTATTGCTTACTGTTTATACGAGGCTAAATTGAAGTATCTTTTTCACTGGGTTCCAGCAACAAATGCTTGAAACTGATCGTAGAGCTTGAAATATTAAAGAGGAGTTTGAGGCCAAGGACTTGGAGCCACCAGACGTCCATGTTGTTCCATTTCTGACAGACTTCTTCCGGCATCTGGATTTCATTCGTAGAAGTTTGGTATTCTATCATCTCTCGTCTCACTACCTGAAGCTGTTTTTTTATTTTCATAAAACAATTCATCCTGCAGGTTGAACTAAAGATCGTGTGACTAGTTCTACTGAGTCCAAATTTGAGTCCAGCTTCCAAGGTTACAAAGTAATTCCTTTGCAAAGACACCCTAGCACCTGTCATGTTTCAATTAACCTTTTCCACCAAAAAAGGCAACATTGAATTGTCTTGAACTTATGAGGGAGACGGTGTTTGAAATGAAATAGCGACCCGATGAAGATGGTGACACATCCAAAAATATCATGGTTTGAGCGTGGGTAGTCGCTTTTAGCTCCTTGAGATATTGGGAGTTGACAAACTACATGTAGTTACCTTGCCAGCCAAAAGAAATCGTGTTCAGGTGCCATTAAAATTTCAGGAGCAAGGGCACGTAGGTGTGCCACCGTGTGTTCATGTTCTGTGTGCATTTAGCATGGCTAGGGAGAATGGTCAGGGGTGCCTTACCTGGGTCACGGTTTCACTGAACTGTGCGATGGCCCTGTTTGACTTGTGCGCGGATCCTCCGGAGGGCGCCTGTGAACAGCAAACGTAGCGCCTGGCATGCGGTAATGAATGGACCAATGAGAGGTGGGCTCTCAGTCATGAATATGTACGAGGTAGGGTGAGAACGGCTGAGCCCTTCACAGTTCCAGTTTGGTTTACGTAGGTTTGCTATTTAGCTATGCGTTGGCATTCATGATTTCCATTATCTCTGTTTTATATCACAGCTTCCAATGGAGTTCCTGTACCGCCAGGTGTGTCTTTTTTGTCATTGACTGAATCGAGAAATTTAGCTTCCGTTCAACTATTTTATCACATAATGCATTGCAGTAGGAATGTCTTAATTCAAACGTTGACGTAACTTGTTAGCCAGATCTTTTTCATGTCGAATTTCGCATTTCAGCCCAATGCATGGGTGAAATGGGACTCAGTATGGACAAGATGTCAATTCCTGATGAGTCGTTCTCGGCAAGCAGTCATGTGAAGGGCCACACCCCAGCCCGGGGCCGCCTGAATACGCTGTACAGCCAGACGGGCATGCGGAGCGGCTGGACTCCACGACGGAGGGACAGGAGACCATACCTGCAGGTGGGTGTGAAATTTGCCCGTTGGTGTTATATATGACATTGCCTCAGGGGCCCGGTTCCAGATGGTCGGCTAGATGGTCCAAACCATCCACGGGTAACTCTCACTCAAACTAGCCCTGTATTGGAGAGCAGTTCAGAGCAGTTCCGAATTCCAATTCAATGCCAGTTTTCACACACACACCCAAGAGAATAGGAGCTGTTAGATTGGGCTTCATTTGAAGTGGACGTATCCACCGTGCCTCTTCCTTCGCATCATTTTGTAAGGTTGATCTTGGGGAGCAGCGGCACCTGTCCGGGATCATCACTCAGGGCAGGCACTCGAAGCATGACTGGAGGAGCGTGGTGCAGCAGTACTTGGGACAGAAGTGGGGCCGGCGCAGGAGACGACCCTTCCGAAGGCAAGCTTGGCTCATCGCCTATTTCGTCAAGCACAGCTTGGACTGTGAGCACTGGGACTTTGTGAGGATGCCCAACGGGCAACGTCAGGTAATCATTTTGGAATGCTGTATTGGAAGACAGTTAGTATGTCAGGTCATCAAAATCTTTTTTTTAAGTTGGGGGAGGGGAAATTTATTTTGCCCTGGCTGGCTGGTTTTAGCTAGATGAGCTCCCCTCGGTAAGCTTGGTAGTCGATTAGTAAGAAGGTTACATCAGTACAAAGCAGGAGGACATTGGTTTGAGGCCCACCCAAGTGAATTTGTGAATTTTCTTCCCAAACCGTAGGTCAACACTGAGTTAACAGGAGTTGAAGAGCAGTGTATTGGGTAGAGAGTTGTACATTGGTTACCTTGTATTTCATTCATGAAAGAAAAGAGCTGTTCAATTAACCTCCAACCCAAAATCTGGATTATAAATGCAGAGATTCTGGAAGACGCCTAATGAACGGCTTTGGATGATAGCGAAAGAGCAGCTTGTAGAAAAATTGTAGGCATATCACGAGGAATGCTCGTTTGGTCGGACTTGAGTCTGCTACATAGATGACTCGCAGTTTCCAACCGTCTATGTTTTTTTCTCTCGCCAACAGCTGTTTGAGGGCAACGTGAACCCCAGCACCCCGAGGACCAACTACCTGGATCGGCCGGTGACGGCGAGGTGCATCCGCATCCAACCCAAGAGGCAGCGGGGCTTGAAGATCGGGCTGAGGCTGGAGCTCCTCGGCTGCTCAAGTGAGTTCCTCTGGTTGAAATTGGTCGTCCCAGTTTCATCCAAGTAAATAAATATCCTTGTATTTTTATTTTAATCGTAGAGAATACAATCTCAAAAGGTCAGAGGAACGAACTGTTGGCATATTTTTATCCATAGTTCCCACCCGTACGTTTTGGTCAGATTTTTCTGGGTTGTAGAGTTCTTAAGTTGGGGTGTCGTAGTGAAGACCCTCGCAAGGCCATTCCCGAAACCAGTCACAAGTAACTATGGTGGCAGGGTGGATTATGACAAAGGAATGCTTTTGTTGCTGTTCAAGTATTTTGAAGTAGCTTGTGGCTGGAATTCAGGCTGGATGTCGAATTTCGGTCCTGTGGTGGTATTGTGCCGGTCTGACGGGGTGTCAAACGCAACATTGTTAAGTTGATGAATATGGCTCTTAGTTGCACATTCATAAGTGTGACAAGCTGATGTTAATCTGTGCTGTTGCTTGTTCTTAAGTTGTAGGGTTGGATGAGTTGGAAAGCTCATTCCGTAGAGTACTATCCCAGTAGGATTGCAGGTTCAAATCTCGCTACAGTAAACTTCTTTGTGCAATCGAAAGTTGACCTCCTCTGTGTCTGTTTGGGTGCATTTGATGCCTTTTTTTAAAGAAAGTGCAAAGCAGTTTTCCTCACAATGTCTCCTACAGAACATAAACATAGCAACCAATAGGTGTATCTAACTTTCTTCGGAAATGCTCGGCATGCCAGTATTCCACTCACAAATCAAGGCAAACTTTGCAACTTTTCCGCACACACTTGTTACAAACTCTCTCCTTTACAGTTGACCCGTGCACCAGCAGCCCCTGTGAGCAGGGAGGCACTTGTAAGCAGACGTCAGGCTTGGATGCAGACGGGTTTGTCTGCCAGTGTCCGCCGGGGTGGACGGGAAGCAGATGCGAGATCGGTAAGGCTGCATCCGCCAGCCCATTGGTTGACAGACTGATTGATCTGTAGCCTTAACTCCCTCTGAGTGCGCGAAAATAATCGTGCGAGATCTACTGAGGCTAATATTTTCAGTCAGCACATGGGCCAAATTAGCGTGCGTGGTAGAATGCTTACATGTGTGTCAGTGGTTAGAGGTTTGGGACTTTTGGGGTGCGTTCGAGCAAGGTACTCGCGTTAACACAAGTATACTCCTGAGGACTCGAATGGCTGGATTACGACCTGAGGGTCAGCGAGAGTATTCTCTCGCAAGAGGGGAGTATACTCCTGTACCCGAATGTAATGCGCACGCATCCTTCTCGCATTAACCGGAGTAACCGCGCGAACGCACTTACGAGGTTAACAGTGCTTTCTGCAGTAGTGCATAGCCCCCGTGCCCCCTCTCCGCCAGCCCCCTCACTGGGACCTCAGAAAAAAACGAGAACTTCATTTATTTTTTTTTTCAATGCTGGGGTCATATTCTTTGAGGTACCTCCCTCCTGAATAGATGACTTCACCCGCATTTATGCCTCCATTTGTCACTTGCTGGGCAAATGAAGTTAGGTGTCCATTTAGAACATACTATAGAAGGCGGAGTAAAGGACAAACTGGGTTCTTGTCCTTACCTGCTTCCCATCCTTGTTTCCGGTTTCAATTTTTTTTTTTTTTTGGCAATGTCTTTTGAGTTTTTACTTGTGTTATGACAGAAAGTGTAGAAAGAAAACTTAAGGGTGGAAGTTCCTTCAGTGTCAACAAATGGGTAAAATAAAATTCCATCGGCCATCTTGGAAAAATCTGCCATCTTTAATGTTAAAAAATGCCTGCTGCCCTCTTTTTCAGAAGCCTGGACAAAAACTTGTTTCATATTCAGCTTCGCCTTACAACGTTTTTCAAAACTTTGTACGCAGTGGAGGGCTCGTGTCGCAGTGCGGGAGACTCCCACTACCACACGTTTGACGGCCGGCATTTCTACTTCCCTGGCGAGTGCACATACACCCTGGCCAAAGACTGCGCAAACGGGGAGACGCCGACGTTTGACATCCTCACCAACAATGCTGCTGCCGGCCGCGAGATTTACATCTTCACCAACAACATAGTGAGTGGTCTTGGGCAAAGAAGTTTGCATTCATTTACTGTTCTTTCCAATATTTAAGTAATTTTTTTCTGTGTCTAATATCATTTGCCACTTTGTATTCTGAAGGCTCAGTGGTTTACACTGTTCAGTGAATATTTTGAGAGACCTCGTACCTGGACGATTTCTGGACCAGCGTTTGTTCCTTATTGCAAAATAAACGTCATCTAAAGTGGAGAGGCATATTTGCATGTTTTCTTTCAGATGTTTGAGTTCAAACAAGAAGGCGTTGTACATGTGGACGGAGAAGCTTGCGAGTTACCCGTCAAACGCAATGGCGTGTCAGTTGTCCACAACGCCTACACCGGGGTGGTAGGTAGACCAAACTTGACTTCACAAACCAATTTATTATTTTTCTTAATTATCTGCCTGTTTGTTTCTACAGGCTACCTGCAGACACGCAGCTCTAGAGAACACATTATCAGCAGGTCCGGAAAAAGTGCTGGAATTTGATCATGATATGGCAGTCCAGGTCATGTTCGATGGAGGTCTAGCACAGTTATCAATGTTTAATCACCAACGATTGCCTCCCACCAATACGATACTTTGGAAGTGTTACTGTATATGGCTCAGATTAAATATCGAGTTTATTTGCAAGTGCGTCAGAAAACGTTATGTTTAAAAAGTGCAGTAAGCCCAAATAAAAAACTGAGAACTGGGATTTTTTTTAAGTGAGCCACTGTCAGTCACCAACTTCTGAAGAAAAACAATGTTTTTATAATCTTTTACTATTATTTTTCTTACATTGTCTGCTTGGATTCCGCATTTGAGGGTGGCAAGTTCTAAGAATGTATTAACTACGAGTTGTCATTTTGCCACCTGCTATCAGTTGCTGCAAACAACGTATGGTTTCACTGTGGAATGGGATGGCCACCATCGGGTCATTGTCAACCTGCCGGAGTCATACGCCAATGCCGTTTGCGGACTGTGCGGCAATTTCAACAGCGACAAGGAAGACGACATCCCCCAAGTAAGTCAAGGGGCTGCTCTCTCTCTTGCGAATGCCTGGCCGGTGCATGAGTGGTTATATACAACCCTTGATTTTACATGTCCGAAGTGGTTAGGTGCTAAAAACCATCTGAAATGGGTCTCGATTCAAAACTAGCTATGACAATTGAAACAAAACGAAATAGTTTTGCAAGTTTGCTGTCTAACCACTGCTGCTGTCGCACAAGTATTGCTCGCTGGCTTGATGCCACCAAGTCGGCTGTTGACATTGGCCTGTTGTAGATTGTAGGTTATTTGACGGTTATTTTGTGAAGAGACCTGGGTCTGCTCTTTTTACGTCACGGCCATGTTTTTACCTACAAGTGGCTGCTAAAACTATGGCCAGCCGTTAGTACAAAAGTGAAAGAATACTTCACCGAACTAAAACTCTATTGCAAAATACTAGGTGAAAATGTAACCGTCTTTAAAGATAATACGGCAAATGTGTAATTGAAACCAACTGAGGCAATATTTTTGCAAACGTTGGCTGCCCGTACCAATTGTTGGCAAAATGAGAGTGGTCTCTTAATCAGTAGCCAAATAAATTTACAAAATCAAAGAAGGCTACAAAAAAGACACCCAACTCGTGAAGAATTCATGATTTCCTCGTTACATTTGCTGCGAATCTCTATTTTTTTTTTCTTTTGTCATCTTTGTTTGACTAGGATGTGTCCGAGATGCAGTATGGAGAGACTTTTGCCGTGGATCCCGAGAACTGCGAGGTCTGCCAAAAATGCCTGTTGGATAAACCGTACATCCTCAATCCCGGCAAACAGGCCGAGGCTAATGAGCTATGCAACCCAATCAAGGACCCACTTGGTAAGAATCTATTCAAATCAAATCTATTCACAATCATTTGTTCCTTCCCCCGCCCCCAAACTCTGAGCCTTTTTTACGTTGCGGTACCTCATTAATCCTGACCAACTCATTTCAAGTTGTAAAACGGAAGTGCACGTAGGACTTCTGTGAAAATCTGCTGGACTGCTGTACGTGTTCCAAAGGAGTACAACCGTGCTTCATAAAGAGATAGCGAGACGTTTGATGCTATGCCCATCAGGATTCACTCACCAACTGCCTGACAAAGTGTCAAGCAAAGGGAACCAACATCCATGTCTTGGAGCTCAAGCTCTGTGTACATGTGACCCATAGTGCCGGTGACCCTCAGTTGAACCAAGAGCTTCTAAAAACTTCACTAGAGATAGCGAATTCAAAAAATTCAAAGCACAAAAAAAAAGAACAAACAAAAAACACAAGAAGGGAAGTAATAGTCTTCGGTAATGGGGTCATTCCATGAGGTTGGGGCTCCATTTGTGACGGTGTCCTTGTTATATGGGTAACTTTTACCACCCGTCATGACCTGTAGACTAGGTCCTTTACTCTGTAACCATAACACACACCTCTGTATTCAGCCTTGCAAGATGTACAACAATGTCAATTTGGAATCCACATGCAGGGAAATAACTGTTCATTTTTACGTAACCCATGTCACAATTGACACTGTCACAAATTGTGCTCCAACTTCATGGAATGACCCAGTGGTATTTCACCAGTTCTCAACTGTCCTTCAACTTTCAGTTCGAATTGGTTTGTTTAAAAAAACAAAGTCACCCCCGTTATGGCCCAAAGGCCAAATTCTGGTTGTTAGTAAGAAACTTAAAACTAATTACAATAAAACTAATGAAACTAATATCGAGATAAAAGAACAAGATAAGCATGTGCTAAAAAAAGAAAAAGGAAATGTATGACAAATAGGCATAGGAACACCCAAAAAGGCTCTCTCTGAAAGGATTCCTGCATTGGTTTGGTGCACTGCAGGTCCGTTTGCGCGTTGCCACGGCGTGGTCAGCCCGGACGAGATTTATGACGACTGCCTGCAGGACGTCAGCGACTCGGACTCGCTGAGCAGTGTCCCCCGCTGTACCCAGTTTGCCGAGTACGCCGACGTGTGTGCCGAAAACGGTGTGGTCATTACGTCATGGAGGGAGAAGGGGCTGTGCGGTAAGTTCTCGCTCTCTCTGAGTATTCACCTCGAGCTGAAGCCTCCTCATTGGTCGAAAAGAGCCGCGTTGGTCGGGAGTATCCATTTTGTTTGTCGTGATGCGACTACAACGCTTGCATCTCCTAGTCGTTTGTAAACAGGCGATGCACAGTTCTGACCAAAGGAGCCTCCATTGCTGGGAAATAACGCCCTCTCTTGGTCCATCTCGAGGCCCATAGACAGTGACTAATTAATTTAAATTGAATAACTTTAAAAAAGAAATTCCATTACTAGTAATAAATCATTTATTAAGAATATCTGTACATGAACTAGTGGCGTTGTAGTTGAGACCTCTTAAAATCCCACAAGACCCCACAAGACCAACGCTACACCAACGCAAGACCTCTGGTCTAAACTCAAGCCACAAATTATTCAAATGAACTGCAACAAAAGCACTCCTTCGTCATTGTTCACCCTGTTATTTGTGATTGGTCTTGTGTCTGGTCTTGTGTCTGATCTCATGAATGGTCTTGGAATGGTCTCGGCTACAACACTTTGAACTCGCTCAGGAATAGCATGCTATTTTGAAGTTACCAGGAGAGACATTTCTTTCAAGTATTCAAACAATCTTATGCAAACGTTTTGTTAGTGGCTACACGTATTTAGAATGGGATCTTTGCCATTTTGTGAATAGGTTTTCTTCAACACATGCTTTTATCGTTATCCAAGCTTTATTGAAGCATCTGTTCTTTCCAAAGTCTTTTAGAGTGGATCAGGTATGAGCTCTTTTGGGGGGAAGCCTTTTAATTCAATGTAATGGTAAACATGACTTGAATATTTGAGTAACAATGGGAAGTGTTGTGGTGACCGCGATGTCTTCACCAATCCCAGAAGTAGAGTTTCTTGGAGAGTCGGACCACTGAGCACTGACTTGATGCCTGCCCAAACACTGAGTCCTCCTCTAGGTGCTTTGAGCCTCGTTGAGGTTGATGAAGACACTGTGAGCTGGCTATGCAGAGATATCCCCCTGTAATGTCAAACTTTGGGTTTTGTGACGAGATGCTCAGATGTCATAGAATGTTACGTCTAGATTAAGAATGAATAAAAATTTAAAAAACAATATTGACATCATTTCCAGGGATCACGTGCCCTGCTGGCATGATCTACACACACTGTGGTAGTGCGTGCCCGGCCACCTGCGGTGACCCCCACGCCCCCAAGACCTGCACCAGGCCGTGCGAGGAGACCTGCCAGTGTCCTGAGGGGTTACTGAAGGAGGGCGACAAGCTGTGCGTGGTGCCCTCGGAGTGTGGGTGCACGGATAACGGCTGCTACTTTGAGGTAAGTGTTGCATGCCCAAATTTTTGCTTTGACACAATTCACAGAACTAAGTTTCTTTGGATGATTTTCTGTGTGGTGTCATTTTCAATCCAGTGACGTCAGTATTCATAAAGCAAGCCCGAGCAATGACTGTAGTCAGTATACTATGACGATCGTCAGCTAAACGATGGGTCATTGGATTATCAAGTCTACCCTTTGGAACTGGGCCCTGAGCCACAGTTGCATCACTGGTTACCAAGAGCCTTTTTCATAATTAAATACAGAGGGAACCTATTGTATCCGGTGTGCAAACTCAAATGAAAGAATTGAACTTGACCAAATGAACAGATGAAAGGAATGCTGAAGCCTGGCCTAATAGGTGGAAACTAAACGCAAGAAAATTTAACAATTTTTGCTTCTCCTTTTACACAATTGGGTTAGCCGCCATACTGAATCACTTAGCATAACAATGGATATTACAGAACCGTTGGCATGAAAAGCACAAGATGGCAGACACCATGGTCGAGTTCGGGCGTCCTGTTCTTGACAGGGGTTTCTTGTTCTCGCGCTTGAACGGCGGGAACACGACTCAAGAACACTGTTCTCGGAACAGGATCACACACCACCTCCTCGTCAGGGTTTTATAGGAACACACGGAAAAACTCGTGAGAATTTGATTTTTGAACAGCTGCAAAAAGTAGAGAGATGGCTTCCAAAGCCATAGACAATGGGAAGTTTTGTAAAATTTAACATTTATTATTTTCCGTAACACAGAAATGAATGTTCCTGTTTATATAAAAAAGAATTCAGCCCATCCAAACATTAACTCTGAATATCTTAGCCTACATGGACGGCGCCATGTTCCATGTTGCTTGTCACTAACTACCAGTGACAGCCGGTTGTTTGTTCCCATTGTTTGAGCGGCCGACCCATGAACAACAAATCAAGCTGTTCGTGAACATACGGGAACAAGCCGCCCGAACTCGGCCACTGAGTCAAGGATAACAGCACCACCTTGAGACTCTGGAACCAAAATGGCTGATCATTATGTGTGCTGTACATCATGCAGGTGTTATGCTCTGATGCATAATCCACCATTTTGGTTCCAACAGTTGAGACACTCACAGTCAAATGGCACTGCTTTTGAAAAGTTTGTGATAAAAATGTGGAACATTTTAGTCAGTGAAGTGCCGTCATCAGTGCATGGCACTCTTGGTCATTTTCAGTCAAAAAAACAGGTGATAAACACAAAGCCGATGGGTCACTTTGGCTCTGGACGGACTAACATTCCCAATCAGACTACAAGAGTATGTACTGTTTAAGTACACGAGCGCTTAATGAATCCACTTTAAGATGAAGTTTGAGAAGGGAATGCTTTGGTGGCCTATTTGTTTCGAAGGCACGTTGAAACTCGATGCCACTGAGCGGAGAGCAACGAGCGAAACACTTTCCGCATCTCCGCATTCCTCAAATAGTAAATGATGACATTGAGCCAGCTGTTGGTCATCAAGAGGACGTCGCACAGGGCATCCAGGGTCACCGGGACATCGGTCTTCAGCTGGACGATGATCCGCACCATGTCCGGCATCCAGCCAATCAGCAATGCGGCGGCGATGATGACAATGGTGGTCAGGGTCCTCGTTGCGGGCTGATGGTGGCCGATCAGGTGCGCTGGTGCAATACGACGGGCCTGCCTTCGGGCGATAATCAATATGTGGGCGTACAGGCCCATGATGATGACCAGGGGGATCAGTGTCGTTAGAATGTTGTTTGGGCCTTGGTTTTGTCCTTTCCATGTGCAAGAGTGTGCATTTAACCCGTCAACAAGTCCAGTGATGACAATGCAGCTTATAATCGTGAAGGCAGTGATAAACTGCGAGCAGCGCACTGTCAGCATGGCCAAATATCGCAGCGGGTAGACAATGGCAACGTAGCGTTCCAAAGTCAACAACAAAAGGGACATCAGCCCAGCGTAGACAAACACCTCGTTCATAATTTTAGATGCCAAGCACGCGACCGGGCCGAAGGGCCACTTCCCCGCGATGTACTCAACCGTCGTTGGCAAGGCAGTGAAAATGCCAAATCCGATATCACACGCCGTCAGAGCTGTCAGAAACACTTTGGTGACGTCGTTGATGCTGGCTACCCGTTTGAGGAGGACCAGGCATAACGGATTCAGCGTTAGGATCAGGACGTTGGTCGTCACCATCAACACCATGACAAATACCAAGCAGGCCCTGTTGCCAGGCTCTGCTTGATTGTCAACATCAAGTTCATTATCGAGGCTCTCATTCCCTGCCAAAGGAGATTCAGACTGCATCGCTGCTTTCAAATGTCCCTGGAGTCAAACTCCCTGACCTCTGATCCGTCCCGATGTCACCTACAATCAAAATTTTCCCATGGGGCTACTCTTGTGAACTTTCGTCATGCAGGTCACGTCATGAGTGCTCTGCAAAGAAGTGGTGTGACTCTAGTTACTGCGCTCAGCTTAGGGCATCCTCTCAAAATCCTTATTACATGGAATACAGCTTATTAGGACTTCATCTCTGAGCAACACTGCGCCAAAAGAGAAATGGCCTCATCCCAGTTATCCACAGTACTGGGCACTCCAGATCTCCTCTTGTTTAAATGGGTAAAAAGGATGTCTGAATGGGTGCTGTACCAACCAAGCTCTTGGCACCTTTTTTTTCTCCAAAAGCAGGTTCCGGTGACCCCACCCCATGAAGAGAGCTCTGTCCATTGAGAGACTCTCAGTTTCATTTCAGCAAGCAGGCTTTTTCTGCAGAGCTGAGTGTCTAGTGTTCATGGGGGTGTTGAGTGATTATCTAAGAGATATGCATGTTATCAGGTGTAATGGATCCAAGCCGCACACTGTTTGTCTAGCGAGAAAGTGGGCACTTTGTCTTACAAGTCATCGGCGGACTCTACGGGCTGGCATTTCTCTTTAGCGAGACATTGTGAACTCCCAAAAAAATCAATCACCCTGAGATCAAAGAGAGTGGAGACTGTAGTCAGGTTGAGGCCTCAACATGTGTATTATCGGTGTAGTTGGACCACATCTGAACTAAGCAAGTTTTCCTTCCTGTAATTAATCAAGGTGTGGAACGTGCCACTGATAACGGCATGTCTCTGTTGCACAAGAGCTTCTCTAATAATTAACCCACGGTGGAATGAGGGAGGCTCTATCGAGGGGGGGCCAAACAATCTCCCACTCAACATTTATCACCACTGAATTACCATCTCCTCGTCCTGTGTGAGCAAGGATGATGCTTAATGCAGCTGTAAAGTTTTACGAATTTCAAATATCGATGTGTACTTTTATGCACGTGCGGCACTTTATTGCAAGTGTAAATCTCAAGGGGATTTGTGGGGTTCTGTTTCAAAACAGCTTTTTTTTCCGAATTCAATTGGTTAAGAGAGTAATCTTTCCGTTGCTGATGTAATTTGCTTCTTTATTTGGCACAATTTTGTCCAGAATCATCGAGCGCTTTGTCCAAATGACTGCACTTCTGGAGATGAATTAAAAGACACTGCGCCTCCCATGATTAAATCTCTCTCCGTTTAATGATTAATCGGCTGAAAATACCAAGATTTTGAAGATGCATAAAAAATCACCAAATTGTCCGATGGATTCAACCAAGCTGCGAACAGAATGACAACTCACGTTTTTAATTTTTTTTGTTTTGTTTTGCTTTGTCAATGAAGCGGGGAACCACTTTTTATCGCACTGGATGCACGGAGAGAGGCATGTGTGGATTGAACGGAGAGGTGACGTATCTGCCGGGCCAGTGCGGACAGAACGCAACCTGCGGATCAAAGGATGGCGTGTACGGTTGCTTCTGCAGTGACGGCTTTTCTGGTGATGGGCAACAGTGCACCAGTAAGTTTATGATGATCAAGATATCTTACCTATTTTTTTTATTTCTTATGCGTAACCAGTGCAAAGCAAAAGTACTGGAGGAGAAGATTATGCCGAAATGTTTGAGTTTAGAGTTGGGAGAAAAACCCTGGATCAGTAGTCCAGGGGAAAACCCATGGAATCAGGTAGGGACTGTGAACCCAATCCATGTGTTGGCCTGGGTAGGGTTTGAACCCAGGCCCCCAGAGGTGGAAGGTCAGGACAGAGTACCAGTAAGCCAACCTGACTTGGAAAGTCAAGTTGACAGTCGAGAATGGTAAATGCAATGACAGAAGCTATAATTTTTGATATTGATGACTTGCCGACCTTGACAAGGATGACTAGGACAGCAGTGACCAGGACAGTGGCAAGGGTAATGATATAAATAGATGTGCGATTGTAAGTTGGATTCATTTCTAGAGTATGAGTGAATTGGTGAATGTTGCCAATGGCAAATACAAATTGTGTGCATTGACATGAGTGTCCTTACAGTTGACGTCCTCTGCTCACAGATATCCAAGATGATAAGGCTCTGCTCACCTGCGAGAGTGAGGTCTTGAGAATCGATTGCGGCCCCGGCAAGTATATCGACATTGTGGAGGCGGTGTACGGCCGTAATGAGGACTTTGAGAAGTGCCCCACCCAGGCGCAGCCCAAGGGGGAGTGTTCGGCGCCGTCGGCGATGAGCGCCCTCGTGGCCAAGTGCCAAGGGCGGGAGGACTGCAGCGTGGACGTCACGTCGGAGGTGTTTGGAGACCCGTGCTATGGCGTCAGCAAATATCTAGAGGTGGCTTGTCTGTTTGAGGCATTTGGGCATGTGCCGACTGTAGTCAAATTTCTGGTCAACTAGAATTTTTCGACACATGACAGAATTTAATACATCAATTATTACCAGCATTGGATTGAATTCGGGCATTTCACAGTGGCGTGCCCCCAAGAGTTTGCAAACACATTATCCAGTCACGAAATCTGTCGACCCAGCGTGCGTTTGGAAAGGGTCGACAGATTTCGCGCACTGTGATTGGCCGACGTACTGCAAACTCTTGGAGGCGCGCTCTTGTGAGCTGCCCGTATCGTCTGAACTTCCTTGATATTCAAATTATCTTCGTATGAATGGCTCGGCGTGCAGGTGGACCTCCAGTGTACTGCTACCCCAAAGCCCAAGAGTGTGTCGGAGGAGATCATGAAGAGGGTGTGTCAAGGAGACAGCATGGAGATTGACTGTGGAGACTTGTACATAGAGGTGGGTTGATAGCCGTGTCCGAATAAGCTGGCTGCGGCTTGGGAGTAACACATGTCTAGGGGAAGTGGCTTCAGTTTATAGCCAGCGGCTTCTATTACTATGCACGCTATGTCAACCCACAGCCATAACTTTTGGTATTCATGAGATGAGACTTTTGCATCTGGGTGATACCAATAAGACGTCTCCGCTAGTAAACAGAAGGTCGTGTTGCACCACTTAATCCTGATTTTTTTCTTAACCATCTAATCAAGAGCAAAGGAAATGAAGAAAGTGAGTGTCAGTGCTGAGCGATAAACTAATTGCCTGCCTCTTTAACCGTAACAGCGTTTTTCCTGGAAGGCCGTTATCAGGAATTTTGCTCTCTCATTCCTCAGGTTGTGGATGCAGTGTACGGCCGGTTGACCGACGGTCAGGTCTGCCCAGGCGGCCACGTCGAGAGTGTGGACTGCACGGCTCAGACCTCCCTGAAGGTCGTCCAGGAGCTGTGCCACGGCGAGCACAGGTGCACCGGCCTCCAGGCGGCCAACCACGTGTTCGGTAGCAACCCCTGCGGCAGGACGTTCAAATACTTGGAGGTAATCATCCGCAATGAGCACTCGCGCGAAATTATCTCGGTTCAGCCACCCAGGGGTTATAAATGGGTACCTGTGAGAGCGGTGATTGTCGGTTGTTTGGTTTGGTAAGCATCTGAAATGGCAGCATCGAGCTGTGTAGACCTTTATCATGGTGCTGCCATGTTTGTCTTGTTCCTGGTAGACTCATTGGCAGTGGTAATGCAACCTCACATATTGAAAAAGGGAACAGACTCTTTTCCTTCCAGCCTCAGTTTGGTTACATTGCTTTGAATGGTAGGAAACCAAGATGGCTGTCCCATGATAGAGGTCCATACTCCCACAGGGAGCTGAGATGCTGAGATATTATTCCTGCTCACAGGGCCTATGGTATTTGTCAAAAAGCCATCCAGTGCCATTTGTGTCTGGAGCCTGTTTCTAAGTGGGGTCTCTAGATTAACAGTCTACAAAGAGGATTTTTTCCAACGGTGGTGCACCCAGGATCTGTTGTTGGGGGGCTCAGACTGGAATTTCCCCCACAGAAATAGCTTGTAATGTTCAACTGTTCAAGCCCCTCACGCCCCCCCTTCCCACACTCTTTGCTCCCCGAGGGCCACTCCTCTTGAGTGGGCCACTGTTTTTCAGGTTGGGACATATATGAATGATGCTTCAAAAGCTCTTCCTCCGACAGACCTCACTCCCTCTTCATATTATGGTTTCAAGATGGCTCGCATGCAACGTCAACCAGTCGTCCGTGTTGTAGATCTTAACACCAAGGACCTCCTTTGCGCCGTTTTTGATGCCTCTGATTTTCATCACAGGTGAAGTACAAGTGCAGCTCTTCAGCTGTACCAAAAGCCGACCTCCCCGCTAATGCCTGTGCCAAGAACCCCTGTCAGCACGGTGGGCAGTGTGTGACGGTTGAGACGTCCCGGGGCTACAAGTGCAGCTGCCCTCATGACTGGACGGGGCCAAACTGCGAATTTGGTAAAGCGGATTTGAATTCCACGCATCTCAACTTTGTGGCAGCACCTCTAACTCTAATCAATTGATTCCTCACGTTTTGATGTGTTATCAGTAAAAGGACATCCAAACTACAACACCTATGCTATGTGAACTTGCCTCTTTCTGAGTTCTCTTCTCAGCTGTGTAATTTTACAAGGTGAAATAATGAAACAATAATTGAAACAGCTTTTTTTAAGCCGTAACAGAACTGCATTGAACAATGATCAGATTCTTTGTAGCTATAACGAGAAGTGTATCCCAGTGTGCAGTGAAGAATTTTTTTTCAATTGACCACAGTTGTAAAAAGAAACTTGCTACCAGCAGCACTTATTTTGTTTAACTTGGAAAAAGACAATATATTGTTTTTGAAACTTGGCATAAATTAAAATATATTTTCAGTTGCATCCCTATTGGTATCTTTCAGATCCCTGACATAATCTGTGTATTCTTCAATTTGTCACGGAGCAGTTATTTTAAAAGCCGGCAAAATACCCACTCCCTTTCTTCCAGTTAACGATGTTTGTTGCAAAATTGCAGAGGAAGTGAGCTGCCGCGCCTCAGGAGTTTCCCACATCGTGGACTTCAGTGAGCAACACTTTGAGTTTTTAGGCGACTCCAAGTATGACTTTGCCTCGAGTTGCCCTGAGAACAAGTATGACTTCAGCGTCATGATCAAGAAGGCCCGGGTACCGACCGAAAACAGCGTCTCTGCCATCGAAGCTGTGCATGTTCATTATGATGGCAAGGTATTATGCCGTAAACCAGGGAATACAAAAAAAGAAATGCAAAAAGTACGAGGATATCACAATTTTCATTGAACAATTTAAACAAGCTTTCATCAGTGTTTCCACACTTCCTCATAAAGCATTTTTCAAGAGCGAGTGTGAAAAACTCTTTTTTGTTTTCAAAATCTCAATGAGAAGGCTGATTTTATTTGGTAAAATCTTGAATGGTTATCTAAATCAATTCGAATCTATATTTTGTGCTTTGAGATAAATGTAATTTTAACCAAGTTTTGTTCTTCTTTGATATTTTTCTCATGAAGATTATTGAGCTCAAGCAAGAATATGTGGTCCTTTTGGACGGCAAGAAAGTGTCTGACACGCTGAACCTCAACTTTGGGAAAATCAAGCTCTGTCGAGTCGGCAACTACTTGGTGAGTCACCAATCCCCGTGTTAGTTATTCTTCACTTGAAGAGTGAAATGATTGCGGTTGCATCGTGTACCAATCTCTTTCTTGAGTATGTGCGGTTCTGAGAAGAACCGGGGAATAACTCATGAAGACGAGTACCTGGTTCTTCTCAGAACCACACATACTCAAGAGAGAGATTGATACATAGTGCAACCGCAATCATTTTACTCTTCTAGTTTCTTTCACCATGTAAACCTTCAAGTCTTAATTCTTCACTTCATCCTTGTTTTACATTTTTCCTGACAAAGTTCCGCTCAGAACAGTAGGGACAACCATCCGAGTGCTGTGGGAGAAATACTTGTGGGATGACAGAAACTCTGATGACCCAAACTGTCTGCAAAGCCGCAGGGCATTTGTGAAGTGTAGAGACAGCTGAATACTTAATTGAGATTGATAAATGTTTTACGCTCAACTCTGCCACAGCTTTTGAAAACGGACTTTGAGATGATCGTGGCCTGGGACGGCCTTCACCGCGTCCAGGTGAGGATGCCGGACAGCGTCGCCAAACAGACGTGCGGTTTGTGCGGCACCTACCGCGGACTCAGCACAGAGAGCCCTGGCTTCATAGACAGAGACGGCAACAAGGTGAGACCGATCACGTCAATGCTCGTTTCCGAAATCTTGACTGTGCTTCCATCTCAGACGACAGACATGAAGCTGAAATTAGGAGAATGCTCCTGTCAGTGTAAATGGTTATGTGATGCGTACATTGCCAACAAATGCACACCACTTTCATTTATGCACTCTAATTAATGCGAAGAATCTTGGTTTCTCTTGGTTTTCTACGAAGTGTTGCGAAGTAATGAATACTACAGTGGTGGTTGTATTAAGTTCCAGTATCGGATAATTATGGTGACTGAAAAGGGATTTCACTTCTATAGTGTTCCTCAGCTTTGGCATGTTGTGTTGCCACGTAGGGTAGTGAAGACAATTTTTAGAGTGTAGTGATTTGATGTGGCAAAGCTTTGAGTGTCAGACAGAATGTGTGAAATGCTGATGTCAACGAGAGCAGTGGGCTTGACTGGAAATGGAAGTTTCCTCACTCAAGCATAAGTCATTGGTGGAAATTAGATTTTTGACTGACCGTCTGGCAGGTCGACGACATGAATGCCTTCGGGTCCAGCTGGCGTGTCGCCTCTGATGCTCCGTCCTTTGTCCACACCAATCTCATCAACCTGCACCCGTGCGTCGTGTGGCCGAGGCGGGCGTACGCGGCCGCTGGGCTGTGCTCGGAACTCAAGAATGTTCGAGGTCTGTCACATTGGTGCATTATTTGTTCATGAGCTGTCGAGGGACATCAAGTCCATTGTCTAGTAAATAATACATGGTCTGTACCTTTTTGGATCCAACAAATTCTTCAAATTTTCTTGTTGATTTTGAAGGGTTGTGTAGGGTTAGAATTGCAAATCAATAAGTAAGGTTTTGTTATGGTTTAACTACAGTTCCTCGATTTCAGAAACCATAAAGATTTGTTGAAACACGGGGTAGCACTGAGTAGAGCCTACTTTCTCATTTCGTGAGGATGACAGCTACCCTCGAGAAGCCAATAAACATAATTGGTATTTTTTTGGGGGGGGGTTTAAAACAGGTGTGTTCAGGAGCTGCTTTGGCAAAGTGAACCCGGAGGAGTACTACCGGAAGTGCATGTACGACATGTGCGCGACACTCCCGAGCCAGGAATTCCTGTGCCAGGCCTTGGCCGAGTACGCCGACATCTGCTTGGACGAAGGCATCGTCATTGACAACTGGAGGGCCAGTTACAGAGGAGGGCAGTGTGGTAAGTGAGTGCTTGTCGGTGCTATGGCTTCAGTGCGTGAATGACAGAGGGCTCATTGTTACCGGGTAGTGACATCCCCGGGGCATGACGTACCACTTTCGTGCACTTGCTCACGTGCATAGGATAATATACACACATTACGATGGTTTGCACACTCATTCTTTGGTGCTGGGTGCTCTCGGAGTGTTCTGTAATGCCTTTAATTCCTAACTGGGTCGTTCCCTAAGGTTGGAGCACAATTTGTGAAGGTGTCCATTGTTACGTGGGTTCCGTAAAAATGAACAGCTATTTCCCTGCATGTGGATTCCAAATTGACATTGTTATACATCTTGCAAGGCTGAATACAGAGGGGTGTGTTATGTTTATAGAGTAAATGACCCACTCTACAGGTCGTGACAGGGGGTAAAAGTTACCCATGTAACAAGGACACTGTCACAAATTGTGCCCCAACCTCATGGAATGACTGCCAGAGATTTCATTTTGTTTCTTCCCTGTCGTACATCCCTTGATCAAAAATAATGTTTATTTGTACTTCCCTTTGATGTTGCTTTTGTCTGTGTGACCAGCTTTCATTGATATTTGCTAATAAACATTTATCGCCATTGAAATTGCTGTGCCATCAGATTGTGACTTGTTAGTTTTAGATGTGATAAGATCATAAATCATATCAGTGATTGGCATTTCTTGTCAAAGCCATCAGAAGTACTCTGCCCTTGTGACAACTCTTTTTTTGGCCACCGTATCCTTTCTAGCAATGGCCTGTCCCAACGGGCAGATGTACAGCGCTTGCGTCCAGTCCTGCCCCAAGTCCTGTGGTGATCCGTATGCCGAAAGAGAACCCATGGACAGGTACAGAAACATCGCATGAATTCATAAAAATTTTTGCCAAAAAGAAACTTGGGCAGGCCCTTGTCAGTAGTTGGTAAAGGCTCTCTTTTGATTGAAAGGTGTGCTAAATTATTAAAATGGTCATACGTTGCCTGTAGTGTTCTTCACATGAAAGTTGCTGAGAATTTCCCTGCCAAATGTGAAACTTAAATACAATCATTCTCAACATGAAATAAACCTGATAATTCCTTGAAATTTGAAACTGAGTCTTCATAATTTTGATCCATACAACCGAGCACAGTGATAGCGTCATTATTGTTTATTGCAACTCAAGATATTGTCACCCATGCCAGAAAGGGTGTGGAGGTGTGTTTCATAGTGCCTTTGTCTCCATAGGTGCTATGAGGGGTGTGCATGTCGAGACAATGGCCACTTCCAGGACGCAGACCAGTGCCTGACGTCGGCTAACTGTGGCTGCAGACGATTGGGCGTTTATCACCAGGTATGGTGTTATAAACGAGAGAAAAGAGCAAGTTACATCAGACTGGGGGGATTATGTGCAGAACATTGACGCCAAATGCACCCTCTGTCAATTCTGACCCTTGGAACAAGCTTACTTACCCTGTCTTTTGTCCAGGTTTGTTTTTCTGCATCAATAACAACTGTTTCAAACCCCATGCCGCCGGCCTCCTCTTAAAAGACTACTTCAACCGTACCAATATTGAATCATTTCTTAGACACAAAAGTTCATTTGAACACCCTGTGAGTTGGCTTGAGATAGTATGACTTGCTGGGACTTGTTATGGACTTGTTGGGACTTTTGGTGGACTCGATTACAGCATCTGTCATCTGTTCTTGTTCTGCTCGTCCAGGCACTGGGCAAATCCAACTTGTGTATTCCTTTGCAATATTTTCTTTGGAAGCAGAGTCAAGACGTCTTGTCATTTTTACCGAATTTGTTCTTCTGCCTGTGATTCAGCCCGAGGAGAGGGTCGTCAACGAACACTGCACCGGTCAATTCATCTGCCTGCCGGGGGGCGAATGGAGCGAGAATCCACTGACTTGTGACGTCAACGCCCACTGCGGGGTGGTGGACTACAAGCAGACCTGCCTTTGCAACGACAAGTACGCCGGAAGCGGGAAGCAGTGCTTCGGTGAGCAATTAGAGGATCGTCTCATTTGAGTACGTTTGGTTTTTTCATAAGACAGGGTCATCTCGAGAACATAGTATGCTCGCGAGACTTTGCGTGGCTGCATTGATAGGGCAGACCTCGCGTGCATGCATTGCTCTTTCAGTATGACCTCAGAAGCGATCCTTTTTTGGGCATGCGCTGTTGGAATAATAAACTTCATTATTGCAATATTTTGTATCGATGCAGTTTGTTCCGTCTGTTTTGCTACCTTTTAAAGTAGCCTGGCTGTTAATTATACTTGCTAGATGACTCGGCAGCGAGAAACCTTGTCGGCTTTCTTTGACTTTCAGATGCTCAGAATGTCGTCATGAAGGTCGTCTCCCAAGGTGAAAGTCTGCACATTGACTGCGGAGACCTCTTTGTCGATCTGCTGTCGGCTGACTACAGCTTCTCCGATCCCAGCAGCGCTGGCGCGACCACGGATCCCGACTGCCACGCCCCCAACGTGATGGGCATCCTCTCCAACCACATCTCCCAGGGCGGCCGGGTGCTGGAGGTCAAGGCGTCCGCCTACCACCTGGGCGAGACGTGCCGGCAGACGGACAACGTCCTGACGGTGGGCTACATCTGCTCGGCGCAGCCCGCCCTCCGGGAGGAGGGACTGGGCCACGTGGTGAGCATGCGGGGATGCCAGGACAGGGAGATCGCTCTCAAGTGCCGTAAGGGCTCTCGCATTAGGATCCTGAAGGCAGAGTACGGCCGGCAGACTGGAAGCGAGGTGTGCCAGAGCGCTTACAACAAATACATCCTAACCACGAGCTGCCGAGCTCCCGCAAAACGTCTCGAGAAAAGGGTAACAAAAATTGCTATCTTTAATCAAGAACTTTATAAATATTTATTTCTAGTATTGAAATCAACTGAAGTGTGATATTTTCATTTGTGTATTTATTTTCAGATTTCAGTGTTTTTAACCTACACGTGTGAATTTTACTGAAATGTGATCATTTGGATTTTGCTACTTTTAAATGCTTTGTACAAAATCCAATTATTATAATCTTAATCATTTTAATTTCATTACTTTTATTGTAGTCATCGTCACCAAATGTCATGTGGATTTTTCCTGGATTTCTCGTAGTCTTTAAGTCACGGTTCTTGAGCGTGGAAGACAAATACATTATTTGTAGACATGTTGATGGTTTCAGGCCCATTTACATTGCAAGAAAAGTTGTATTTCAGCTTTGACCTACTTTCTAAGATTCGGCACGATTGAGTGTTACATTTTGCATTTGTGTTTGTCAGGTGCGAAGGCGTTGTGAGAACCGCGAAGAGTGTCGCATACAGATCAAGAAACGTAAACTGAGAGTGAATCCCTGCAAAGAGACACCCAAGTACCTTGACATCACCTACAAGTGCGAGGCCTTTGAGCCTAACTAGGAGGTAAATGAGTCTTCAATCTAAATAGTCTCCAACCCTGTTCTTTTCTTCACTTCAAGTTTCGAATCTGTGGGTAACCTTTTTCAACGTCGCATACATCATCTCTGCACGTGCATTTACTTCTCAAATTTCATTTTCTCTCTCAGGGGATGAAGAAACTCGAGATTGGCAGCGCAAAAGCACTTGGAAATAGAAAGCACTTCTTCAGAAATGTAAATTCAACTCATCTGTCGGGAAATGGAAAAACGTCAGTGCCGCCATTCCACACCAGTAGCTTCAGAAATTAAGGCACCTTTACAGTAATGGGCACTGTGATGCTTTGAGGGAAGACAGAGCAAAATAATTCTGAATGAGATTCCTCCGCTGCAAAGAATTCATAAATGGGAAACTTACAAGAAGTATTTGATTGGCCTTGTGCACAAAGAACGCATATCGCTTTTGCTTTAGGGTTGAAGAGGGGCATTCGAAGGTGTTGATTGTCTTCAACAATTTTGAAAAACAGCACCACATAGACAAGTGTTTTTTTGATGGGCTTTAAGAGGAACCAAATGATTACTTCAGTAGTGTTTAACTTTTATTTCAGTGATGTTTAAATCACAGGAATTGTAGAAATGTATTGTGGTCAATGTTTTGGGGGGAAAGTTTATGGCACTGATGCACAAGAGGGTTGGGTTAACATATTTTTCAATGCCAAGTTTGAATCTGAGATCCTTGGAGATCAGTATCGTGCACCAGTAAAGGTACTGGGTAAAAGGAAAGTGTTGATGACGTGGCTGATTGACAGTTAGGTTCAGCTGGAGACGAGTTAATCATAAAGAGGGACTTTTTGTGGAGGTCTGATCCGGATTCGATTTGAGCTATATTTCAGGGAGCCCAGCTTTTGAGACTATTCCATAGAATTTTGATTTCCAGATGTTTCTGAGGCTCATCCTGTGATTTTATTTTGAATGATATCCTTGGAATCATACTCTTGTGGATAAACCAAGGAAGCTGAGATGGTGTATTAATGCTGAGATTGAAGCAAATAGTTTGGAGCCCAGGGTACCATTCAGGATCTTCCATTATCCAACTTATTCAGACCCGCGGTACCATACCCTATAGGAATACTAAGATATGAAGTAGTAGAGATTATTTTGTTTCAACATGGGTGACAGGTTTTTGTTGTGGTGTCAGATGGATAAATAATGACTGATCATGTTTGTTAAGATGACATACTTTAAGATCGTCCTTTTTATCAGAATAAGGTGTACGGTTCCATGATATGCTGTTTTGCCATTGCTTCTTGGAATATATAATGTTGAAAGTTGACTAGTTGGGTGTACTTTGGTTTCACAGTTAATTGCTTTAACTAGTACAACTTACTGAGCTTGTTTAAAAAATCAAAGGCTGAAGTAAAAGAAAGCAGATTATTTGTTCCCATATTTTCATTTTGCTGAAAATATCCAGTTCACCCTAAACGCGAATTAGATTTAATAGGGAATATTATTTATTCCCTGATAAAATGAACATTGTTTTATTTTTATTTATAAGTCATGGGGTATTGAGAGATGAAAATTATTAAAACCTTAAAAGTCAGTGAAGGGTGTTGTGGTTTCCAAAGGAAAACAGAAATATGATTAAAATATGGAGGTTTTTGGTGGCGTTTCTACATTGTGTACAACTGTGATTGCGGTTTATCTTGGAAGCTTTGTTTTCTCGATTTCTGTGGCAGTACATGATAGGACAGTGAGCATAGAGATAATGAATTCCAAAATTACGTTCAAAATGCTGGAACATTTACGACATTTATTTTTGTTTTGGGCTAATGGCTACTCCGTCAAATAATGTGTCCAATTTATCAGTAGTAGGTTTTCCAGCATCAGTAAATTTATGAGCTTTCCAATAAAACATCGAACGAAAAAAATTCGGCCCTTGGGAGAAGTTTTCCATTAGTATGGGTGAAAATAAGAATTGCATCGCAATTAAGGAGCAGGATTTGACTCAAAATAAGGTTTCTGTTCTTAGGAAAAAAATGTTCAGCTAAGAAAAAAGAAAATTTTGAAAGGATTGAATTTTTTTTTAGTTATAGGCTTTAAAAACGAGACAGTGGGGTCCCAGTTTTTTCGGTTGGGTGTAGAGTACATGTATTTACAAAGTCTGCCCCCAAACAGTGACCCGCCCACAAAATGACGAAAAAGTTTGCCACGGAGCAAATAGTTGAGGGCGCTGTCTCGCGACAGCTGCAATATTGTCAGAACCCCAGTATCCCTTGTATGGTTTAGCCACTGGTAACTTACAGGCACCAGACTGTATGACGCACGGTCATGTAGAATGAATAAAATGATATTTTTATCCCGAAAGTGTAGAGTGACATCATTTCGGACTAAAAAAACACTTCCATACTTGCTGACTGTTATCAAACTTGGTAAGTAAAACTGAACAACTAATGCAAAATTAATTTGATCATCCAAACCATCGGTAAGTACATAAAATGGCCCATTGTCGTATGCAAATAATAGTTTAGAAAAAAAAAAGTTAGAATGTAGAAGTACAACCGAATCACCATCATTACTCGTTTCCATTTTGTTTTGGTTTGACATTGTTACTGTTAGATTAGGCCCATGACTTGTTGCATGTGTTATTTGTTTTCAGTTGACTACCTCCAGCTGATCTATCCACAAGTCAAGTTTGTAGCGCCTCCACTTCAAGAACTAGAACACTGCAAGAACTACAACTTAGTACAAGAATTCTGAATCTGAAATAGAGGAAGTAGGATTGAAGTAGCAACAGAACCAGCCATAAAATTGATACTAAGAAGAACATCTAACCTTACTTCAAAATGAGTTCGGCACTGGAAAGTATCCTTTTTGAAACTGGAGCTCAATTGCAGAATACCCTGCCACCCCACTTGACCAACCTCATCATGCTCATAGCCAGGTACAGGTCAAAGTGTCACACTCTTTTCAAGGGATTTTCACCTTGTAGGCCTACCCACGTCATTCTAGGGGTCGTTTTTCAGAGTTGCGGGGTATTCTGCAATTACCCCGAAACTGGAAATAGGTCCTTGCCACATGTTTTTTCCATATTTTGTTGTTGATTTCTTCGTAGGTTTTTGTTTTCTTTGCCGTGTTTTCAAATCTATTTTCGGCAGTTTGCTATGCATGCTAGGCCTTGTTTCCTTCATTTCGTGTTGGTGTTTTTTTACTACAGTTTGAAAGAACTGAAGGGCTCCTTCTCAGACACTGTCCGCCCGTAGAACACATTGCCCCCTCAAGTTGTTGCAGGGGTGTGAGAATTCAGCTTTTTAGCTGATGTCAGCTTTTTTGTTAAGATGTTGACCCTGAATTTCAGCTTTTTTGTATACCCGGCCTGTACAAAAGTATGGGAACATTTTACCTTTCAGCTTTTGCTAGTTGTTTCAAGCTTTATTTTTAAGTGGCCACTCGCACCTCTGTTGTTTAGTCACCAACCCTGGCTGCTTTTGAGTCCAGCGTGAATGGTGCCAGTCTTGGATGACCATTCTGTTGCAGCTACTACATGTTCTGTGCATGTAGTTTTTACTTGCGTGCATTTGCCTTGTTATGCTTGCATTAAGTTCTGTCTCTATCTGCTTGTCTGTCTCTTAGTCAATGTGTGAATACACTCCTGTGGATGTTTCTGCACAGTACAGGAAGGTGCCAGTGATGAAAATGACTTTGAACAATGTGTCATATAAAGCAAGAATATGGGGCTGTTTCCTTTGACTGGAGCCCATTAGGCCTACCTGACGAGCTAACAGGTTTCACTTTTGTTTGCAAGAACTTTTTATGGAAGATTTGAAGGTTATCGTCATGTTTGTGTATTCCCAAAGGCAGTCATAAAGTGAAAATTAAAAAGAGTTTTACGACCTTGCTATGGCATTTGTAACTAGTTTACAGCATTTCAAGTTTAGCTGGGTAAAACCAAGCTCTGTGATTCATGGCATTTGGGGGCTTATCATTTGGAGCCAAGATCAATACATGTATTGTAATAAGTTAGGCGCC